GAATACCTGCTCTTGCACCCGGCCTGAGAACATGAGTAAAGAAATGGTAAGATTTTAAAATGTTCCAAATGATTGAGAAACTAAAGAGAAAGGACGCTTTTTTTTTTTTTTTCCAAACATGCGGCTCCTAGTGCTTCACAAATGTACGATGAATACACAACCTCTGATCGTACTATATTCAATTGTGTGTTGAGTTTGCACCCCGGGTTTTAATCTAATATTCACTGCTCGAGACAGATGAAGAGACTATGTGCTGCATTAGCTAAAACAATTCTGCAACGTAACCCAGCCTTAGGTTCATTTAAAGCTGCGAGCAAAGCATGGTGTTTCAGAAATCAAATACACAAGGAAACATATCTGTGTAACCTGAAAATAGGTGATTTGTGAGGAGCTGCATTTGGAGCAGGGATCAGCAATTTTGATACTGTAGGTGAACGTTTATCTCATGTAATCCTCTGTACTGTATGTTTCGGATGACTGTATGTACGTATGGGGCGAGTGTGAGTAAGAGATGTGAGGGCGAATGACTATTTAGAGATCCTTTATTCGTCCTACAGTGGGGAAATTTCAGTACTGGAATATGTAATGTGTTTTAAAGGTAAGGGGGGTGTTGTTTATTTCCATAGGGCAATTCATCTTTTGCATTTGACCCATCCCATCCCAGCAGGGGCGTCTGTCAGGAGCAGTGGTCGCTGTAGTACAATGCCTGGGAACCCATCTCCAGATGTTGCTGCTATAGGCTTTGTCAGGACTACCAGAGCTGGAGGATTTTACCTATTGTGCATGTTTTTAGTGGTAGGGGAAACCAGAGCATTCAGAGGGAACCTATGCAGGCACGGGGAGAACATGCAAACTCCACCCTGAAAGACCCTGTTCAGACAGAGATTCGAACCAAGGACCTTTTTTTTGGAGAAGAGAGAGTGCTAGCCACTGTGCCCCCCATTTAGACGTGAACACACAATGTACAATAACGTAACAATTAATTAAAATCACATGATCACAGGTGGTGAAAAGAAAAATGGCAAAATGAAAAATTGGGCAATGACTGATAGAACGAGATCGCGGACACAAGCGGAGGAAAGGAGCTTCCTCCGCATTGTGGATGGAATCAGAATCAGAATCAGAAATTTTTTTATTGCCACGTAAGTAACAGGAGGTCACAGACTTGAAAATTGCTTTGGCTCAGTGCAACAGTCAAAAAGAGATAATAAAAATAAGAATAAAAAACACTTCTAAAGAATACATTTAAATTTAAAATAGAGTTACAGTTACTATTTACAATATACAAATGCACATGGTGCACACAATGTAAGGTGACAGCAGTACAGTGAAGTAAGGGCGCTCCCTTAGAAAAAGGGTGACGAGCTCAGTCACACGGGAGGAGGTCGGAGTAGAGCCGCTGCTTCTCCACGTCGAGAGGAACTAGTTGACGTGGCTTGGGCATCTGTGTCAGATGCATTGCGTTTATTTTTAAACAGACAACAAGAGCATCGTATCTTGGGAGAAAGAACGCTGCTGCTTCCTCTGTCTTTGGTGAAGTCTCTGTCCCTGCACGCTGCTTTGCTTATGAAAGAAACACATGACGTCCGTATTCGCTGTCATCGCACATATCAGTCCTCTTCTCATAAATGAATGGTCATCACTGGTAACTGCATCAGCGCTGGCTCCTGGAGATCTCATATTAACCAGAGCAGTTGAACCAGAGCTGTGGTATGTTTGAGATTAACCAGAGCTGAGGGAATCAGTTCTTCTCCTGAAACGTGGTCAACAACCACTCACCGCCACCCACCCCCACGGCCTGACCTCTCTGTCTTAGTAGACCTGGTTAAGTCCAGGTTTGGTCCTGATTTTAGACCTGGTTTAGACCGACCAGTCATGAGGTTGCACTGCCATAAAATAAGCAGTATGTGACGGATCACCACAAAAGTCAGTGCTTCTGTCTGTTTCTCTAACTCCTGTAGATCAAATCCGTACATGTGTTTGGAGAAAACCAATGCATTATTATAATAATAATAATGCGTTGGTTTTCTCCAAACACGGTGGTGATAACTACACTGACAGAAGCGAGGCAACCAGTATGTGCCATCGGCCCCTTTGACCACCACCAACCATTCATACACACACCAGACTCACTCTAAGCAATGTGGGTGTGTCTAATGACACAATGACAGTTTGACAAATTAAGCCATAGCCACCCCATTGTGGCACACATGGTATTAACATAGGTCTCCCATCACAGTACTAACCAGGCCCTGCCCTGCACAGCTTCAGAGGTCTGACAGGATCTGGCTGTACATCTGATGTATGATCTAAAGCAAAAGCTAAAGGTGCACTGTATTTATCCCCATAGGGTAATTCATCCTCTGCATTTGACCCATCCTAAGGCCACTAAGGTTTACGTCAGAAGCAGTCGTTACCAATGTACAGCGCCCGGGAACCCATATCCAGATGTTGATGCTCGGCTTGGTCAGGACCGTAGCTGGAGGATTTTACCTATTGTACAAGTTTTTAGTGGTATGGGAAACCAGAGGAAACATGCAGACACATGGAGAACATGCAAACTCCAATCAGAGAGACCCTGTTCAAACCCTGGGATTCAAATCCAGGACCTTCTTGCTGAGAAGTGAGAGTGCTTTCCACTCTCACTTCTCAGTGGAAAAGGGAGACGTGATTGGCTCAACACAAAAGGTGCAGTAAGATGTCAGCGGTTTATATGAGACCCAGATGCCGTCATCAAAAGATTCTTATCTGACTCGGGAGCCATGGGTTGGCGACCCCGGATCAAGTAGGAGTCTCAGTATTTCATTTTTGTCTTTGTTTATTGTCTTTGTTCAAACATAATGCATGTTTGGAAGGTTGCATGTGCAAAATCCGTGTTTTACTCTTTAGAGATTGGTGAGCATCAGGAGCGATCCAAAATCTGCTCAAAATGTGATAATCACATATTTACATCGCACCCTGGTTGATTAATGGAATGACGAAATATGTTATTAATATACTATTTCTTTGTGAAAGGAAAACATGTTTGTCTAATTGTTATCTGAGAGCATGTTTATGATTACTCACAGCACATACGACGATCCCTAATATCTCTGCAGCCTAAACATGAGGATATATTTATGCATCGGACATAAATATCACCGCAGAGATACTGTGACTTATGAAACATACTGTACATGACTCATACATGTTTAACACAGCGAGGATGCGCGTCTAAGACTCGTCGATAGAGGGCACTCGTCAGCAAGGATAGAGCCCAGTCTCTGCTGGAATGTAAAGGCAGCCGCTCTGAGCGAGCAGTGGAAAAGCTGCTGAGACGCACTCTTCTCTTCCCTCCTCTGCTTCTCAAATCCCCACATGCCGTTCACTCACTCATTACGCGGACGCTCACTCCAAACACTGGCTCTGTCACCGTACAACACACTTTATTAATACATGCCCTGTCCTAAAATGATATTACATGAAAACAGGATTAAGAGAGAAAGTGTTGCACTCGATGGAGCAGGACGTGTACATTTACTGTAAGTGCGTGTGGAGTGCTGGTCTGACGCACTGGGTACTCGTAAGACCCAGTTTCACTCATTCTTACAGCCCACACACAGCCTCGTCCCTGTCCGCACAGTTCGCATTCAGCCTGGTCCCATCTCTCATGGATCACACTGTAAAAAGGTTTATGAGCACGGGGGAGCAGCGCGTAAAAGTTGCCATCGTAGTGATATTTGGACGCTGGGTATTGCTCCACATTCTCAGCCTTAATGGGTGAAACAGTGGCTTACGTGTATATTCATTTGGGTGAAACTTCAAACTGACCAGCTGTCTCACTATCACGTGATGTCTTTGCAAATTCAGCACTCAAAGCACGAAGGCATGGGGTGTACAGGCAAACACACACACACATACACACACAATTATATCAGCAATTTTCTCTCAACATACTTTCTGCAGGACAAGACCGAACCCTGAGTGGACCCTTGTTTACGCGCCGCGTGTGCCATGAGAAGAAGGGGGGTGAGAGAGTCAGCGGGGGGAGGAGTGACAGGGAAGCGAAGGACTAGGAGCGAGAGAGAGAGAGAGAGAGAGCGAGAGGAAGAGAGGGAGGCAGAGAGAGAGAGAGAGCTGTAGAGACCGCAATATCATTTGTGAATCCTGCTCAGAGTGCTGCAGATAGGGGCTGCCAACACATGCGTCTGCAGGTGTGTGGAAGAAACGCACGCGCCTTTACGCACAGGGAACCGTGCCATTCTATTTCTCTCTGAAACGCAAACTGAAACGGATTACATTTGACGTCCTCGCGGTTTTTTGTTGTTGTATCTGCTCCACCCCGGGGACGCGAGCGTTGTGAGTTGCGAAGAGGAGTGAGAAGTATCTGTGACCAGCGGAGGAGAGAGGAGAAGAGAGCAAGCACGTCCAACGCGCGGCGGCAGGACAGGTGTCTCTATAGAGTCGCTACAATCTCTTATTGAGATGAGTTTGAAAAGTACGCCGCTGTGACACTGACTGAGGAGTATCGCAGAGAGGATTGTAAAAGCCACTCAAGAAAAAAAAAAATATTCCCGGACTAACACAGCGCGAGGTCGGACTTCATTCACTCAGTAAGTTGGCACTGTGAACTGTGGCTTTTTACGCGCGAGAGAAGCTGAGTGTTTTGGAGCATTCTGTGGCAACCCCTGAGAATTTTTTGCATTTCTATCGTATAAATATTTGCATTTTCCTGTATATTTTTTATTTTTTATTTTTGGCATTGATCAGACGCTGTGCCCAGAGCAGCGCGCTGAGAGGCAGAGCGGAGGAGAGAGCCCAGAGAGAGTCCGTGCACTTGCTGCTGCTGATGACTGCAGCGGGAGCCATGTATAGGATGAAGTCTCACGCATTCCAAAAGGGAGGCTTCTGTTAATGACACCACCCGTATACAATTGGACTTTTACACAGTGACTACCCTCCTGTTCGAGCAGTTTTTTTTTTCCATTCCTCCATTTCTGCTGTTACATCCAACGGGGACAATGAGGACTACTGGTGCAGTGGAGTACTTGTACTATAGCATGCTCATCCTGCAGTTTGTGCATCAACCCGCGGCCAAGCAAGTGCTGCGTTACCGCTTGGCTGAAGAGGGACCCGCGGACATCAGAGTGGGGAACGTAGCCGGGGACTTGGGGATCGTGGCCGGGTCTGGTGAGGTGACGTTCACGCTCGAGTCTGGCTCTGATTTTTTCAAAATAGACAACATCACAGGTGAGCTGACCACCAATGAGAGGCGAATAGACCGTGAGAAACTACAGCAGTGCCAGATGATTTTTGATGAGAACGAATGCTTTATAGATTTTGAGGTGTCAGTGATAGGACCTGCGCAGAGCTGGGTTGACCTGTTTGAAGGAAAAGTCATTATTCTAGACATAAATGACAACACGCCGTCTTTCCCCTCCCCTGTTCTCACACTGTCTGTGGAGGAGAACAGACCCATTGGGACCCTATATCTGCTGCCCACTGCAACTGACAGAGATTTTGGCCGAAATGGAATAGAGCGTTATGAGCTTATCCAGGACAACGGTGAGTCCCCTAGACGCTCTGGCTCCTCTGGGGACTCTTACTCGGGCAAGAGGAGGTTTGAAGAGGGAGCGAGCAGGAGCAGTGTCTTTGAACTGCAAGTTGCTGACACCACAGACGGGGAGAAGCAGCCCCAGCTCATTATAAAGGGTGCCTTGGATAGAGAGCAGAGAGACTCCTATGAACTCACGCTCAGAGTTAGGGATGGAGGGGACCCGCCACGCTCCTCCCAGGCCATCCTCATGGTCATGATCACTGATGTGAACGACAACAGCCCCCGCTTTGAGAAGAGTGTTTATGAGGCTGACCTGCCAGAGAATAGTTCCCCAGGGGCCCCCATCTTACAATTAAAGGCGGCTGATGCGGACGTGGGGGTGAACGGCCAGATAGAGTATGTGTTTGGGGCCGCCACAGAGTCAGTGAGGAGGCTGCTGAGACTGGATGAGAGCACAGGCTGGCTCAGTGTGCTCCACCGCATTGACCGTGAGGAAGTGAGCCAACTGAGATTTACAGTAATGGCCCGTGACCGCGGACAACCCCCCAAAATGGACAAGGCCACCGTGGTGCTCAATATAAAGGATGAGAACGATAACGTCCCCGCCATAGAGATCCGAAAGATTGGACGCATATTCCTAAAAGATGGCATAGCTAATGTGGCAGAGGATGTAGTTGTGGACACGCCCATTGCTTTGGTCCAAGTGTCGGACAGGGACCAGGGAGAGAATGGCATCGTGACGTGTACAGTGGTAGGGGATGTGCCATTTCAGCTCAAGCCTGCTAGTGAGGTGGAGGGAGAGCAGAACAAAAAGAAATATTTCCTCCACACTTCTGCAGCACTGGACTATGAGATCACACAGGAATACAATGTGGTGATCGTGGCTGTAGATTCTGGGAGCCCCAGTCTAGCAAGTAATAACTCTCTTATAGTGAAAGTAGGAGACACTAATGACAACCCTCCCATCTTTAGTCAGAATGTAGTGGAGGTTTCGTTTCCAGAAAACAATGGCCCTGGGGAGAGGGTCACAACGGTGCTGGCCATAGATGCAGACAGTGGCAAGAACGCAGAAATTGCCTATTCACTGGACGCTGCTGTAAATGGGATATTTTCTATCAATGCAGACAGTGGGGACATCAGAGTGAACACCATTTTGGATAGGGAGCAAAAGGAGAGATATGAATTTAAAGTGATTGCTAAGGATAAGGGCCTGCCTATACTACAGGGTTCAGCCACTGTGGTCATTCTAGTGGCGGATAAAAATGACAACGAGCCAAAGTTTATGCAGGATGTGTTCACTTTTTATGTGAAAGAGAACCTTGAGCCAAACAGTCCGGTCGGCATGGTGACAGTGATTGATGCCGACAAAGGCCAGAACGCAGAGATGAGTCTTTTCATAGAGGAAGAGGAGGAAATATTTTCTATTGAGAATGACACTGGGACTATATTTTCCACATTGTCGTTTGACAGAGAGCAGAAAACCACGTATACTTTCAGGGTCAAAGCTGTAGATGGCGGCGATCCTCCTCGGTCAGCCACCGCAACCGTTTCCCTTTTTGTCATGGATGAAAATGACAACTCCCCCACTGTTAACTTCCCTATAAACAGCTCGTATACGCTCCTCCCACCGTCAAGCAACATCAGAACTGTGGTTAGGACGGTTCAAGCCAGTGACAGTGACACAGGCATCAATGCTGACCTCAGCTATAGCATCATAGGGGGGAATCCCTTCAAGCTATTCGAGATTGATGGAGGCACTGGGGTGATATCGCTGGTCGGGAAGCTAGAGCAAAAGCATTACGGGCTTCACAGACTAGTTGTGCAAGTGAATGACAGTGGGCAACCCTCGCAAAGCACCACCACTTTAGTGCATGTGTATGTGAACGAGACTCTATCAAACTCTACAGTGGTAGATGCACAGGTGGCGAGGAGTCTAAGCACCTCTCTAAACACAAACATTGCAGGTGACCCCAATTATGACCTCAGCAAGCAGCGACTAAGCATCGTAATCGGGGTTGTATCAGGAATAATGACTGTCATCCTAATTATCTTGGTGGTCGTGATGGCCCGCTACTGCCGGCCCAAGAACAAGAACGGATACGAGGCAGGCAAAAAGGACCACGAGGACTTTTTCACCCCACAGCCCCACGACAAATCCAAAAAACCCAAAAAGGACAAGAAAAAGCAGAAATCCAAGCAGCCGCTCTACAGCAGCATTGTCACAGTTGAAGCCTCGAAGCCCAATGGACAACGCTACGACGGCGTGAGCGAGAAGCTTTCAGACAGTCCCGGCATGGGCAGGTACCGCTCGGTCAACGGAGGGCCCGGCAGTCCGGATTTGGCGCGGCACTACAAGTCGAGCTCGCCTCTGCCCACGGTTCAGCTGCACCCACAGTCTCCCACGGCGGGGAAAAAGCATCAAGCCGTTCAAGACTTGCCTCCTGCCAACACCTTTGTCGGCACGGGAGATAACATATCCCTGGGATCGGACCACTGCTCCGAGTACAGCAGTCAAACCATCAACAAATACAACAAACAGGTAAGAACCATTTAAACCAATCATATTTCTACATACCCCTCTCTCCCCCCTTCCCTTTCACTTAAATGTTGTATATGTTTGTTCCTCCCTTCCTCTCATTCATAATGCTTTCTGACAGGGGTAGTCTCAGTAGTCTTGTTGCCTTTATGGTGTTAATCTGTGTCAAGTTAGCGCTATTGATTTGTTTTGGTTTGGAGTGCCATTCACTTGTGTCCATTGAAGGGAATAAGAAAACGAAAGCTTTAGATTAGGGAGGGATTTTGTTACACCAACTTTTTTATTCTCCTCTCAGCGTGAAGGTGCCTTTTCTGGCCAGGCTGTCAAAAGTACTAACATCAAAACAAATGTGCATTAGACAGCTCAGGGATGTTTTGCAGTTTTTCCTTCTCACAGGACAGTAGCACGGGCCAGCTTTAGTCGCCCTGCTCCCCTTTAGCCATGTCAAGTCTTGGCCCATGCCATTACAAGCCGGCCTTTCATCTCCTGGAATAGTCAAAGCACTGAACATAAAGCTCGAAAGGTAGTTGGAGGCAAAATAGGCCTTGCTTTGACTCAGCGTTGCATTCTTCGGCCTTAAGTGAAAACATGTGTCCCGGAGGTAGTGTTCACCGTCATGTCTGATTCAAGCTCATAGGATTCTGTTGAGACAGTTTAATCACATCCTGTATTGTGTTTCACTTTGGTTTTATTTTTTCTCATTAAAATCTTAACCGCTCTTTTCACCTACATTTCTTTTCCCTGTTACTTATTAAGCTGCAAGTGACATATCAGGATCGATAAACAATCAGCCATGAGGTGGGTTATTAAATTAGCCGTCTTTGTTTAAAACACAGCTATTATTGTAGATGTTTTCTCTGTTAGTCTAATGAATTATTGATCTATGCGATGACAGCGCCCCTACTGTACATTGTGTGGAGCTCTTAGCTGGATTGTTGTTTTTTTTTGCGTCGTTCCCTTTAATTTGTCTACTCCTTCGTGCATGCTGCTGCTGCCTTTGTATGCTTCAGCCGAGGTTTTTTTTTTTTTACAGAGAGGACCACACTCAAAAGAATGATCAAACCTCAATACAATTAAGCAGAGATTAAACCAAGACAGTAAAGACTAAAGCACACAACATCCATTAGTCTTATTAGGAAATGTGTTATCTTTTGCATAAATGTACATTACTATTGGATGCTTTGAGCTGATTGGCTGAGTGAGGGTGGTCCACTCTTTTTCACTTTTATGTCTGAAAAAGCCAATCTATAGTGAAACTAGTGTCAAAACCAAACTAAGATTAAGATTAAGAAGAGACCCTGTATTGAAATTTCAGTGTTGCATTACCAGTTACAGAACAGTAGCAATGAGCAGCACATAGCACAAGATACATGAACAACAACTCTATACTAGAATAAAATAAAATATCCAACTAATCTGTATTGATTTAAAGGCACTATGATTTGCAACTGATTGCATTGTCCCATGTTTTTGTGGTCTGAAAGTGAAGTACCCCAGCTTTAATACACCACCAGATCTGATTAAAGATGAAACCTTAGAAGTAAACGTCTATCATCTATTTAACCGCGGGACATTAAGGCTTCGCAAACCAGCCGTAAAACAACCCACAACCAAATAAGTCTCTACCAAGTCCGAACCACTCTTCTCTACCACACATTGCAAACCACTTTACCAGCCATTCTCGCAGTCTTCCTTACAATACCCCTCCCAGCTTTTAAGACTCTTCTTTTAATCTCATTCCTCTCCCTCTTTCATCCTGCTCTCGTCTCCTCTGGCTTCCTGTGCTCTGACCGCTCTCACTGTGCTGTGTTCAGTGAGCTGCTTCGCCCGAGTGTGAGGAGCGCTGTTGCTTTCCGATGTCTCGTGCATAATTAAAAGGGCACTCCATTCGCTGCATGTATTGTGTGTCACTATACGCTCCACTTATATAATTATTTATTTACCCCGGGACTACAGTTATGCACCAGTAAATGGACTGAATACCATGCGCTGCCTGCCTGCCTTGCCTGGGTCCTTGGCTTTATATGACCTCAATTCAATTTTTCAGCTAACTCAATTTTTCAAGCTTGATTGTGATTAATGGCTTAGTTATTTTGTTTGGGAGTTTTTTATGACCACGCAGTTCCACTCCACCGGTTGTGTTGCAAATATGTGTTGTGCAGGTTTCTACCTCGTTGCTTTTTAAACATGTCTGGGTTGTAAGTTATTTAATGATGATTTATGGTTCGCAGTGACTTGCTTTTAGTGTGAAATTTGAATTGAATGCCCTCCGTCGTTTGAACATAAAAAAAACCTTAAAAAATGCTGGCTAATTATCTGTTTTGGTGTATTATTCTGCTGTATTATTCCTTTGGAGAGCTTTCATTTTAAACATGCTGCTTTTTATATTTTGAATTTGATTAATCTGTATTAGGGCGGGATCTACTCATAACACTTCACTTCTTGTAATTAAAAATCGTGCTTTTCCGAGTGCACTTTTCAATTAACTTGTTGAATAATTGCTTAAATTTCAAGTGAAACGAATAGCCTCCTTTACCAAACGCAGCCTACTTCTCATCTACTCCAACACATTTGCCTAGTATTCAAACTTAATCAAATTACAAGTCTGTTTTTGCGGCCCATAAAGCTTGGAATATTCTGTTATGCGTCTTAGTCCATTTACTATATTAGGCGTATAGTCGTAACTGTATTCCTCTTGATATCCCACAGGCTCTGTAAATAACCAAGTGTTGAAGCATTTGTTCCAGTCAGGGTCAATAGGCCAACTTTTAATGATCGCTCCAGAGAGGTATCTGAGAGTAAGTATTTTGTGTGCCCCAATGATGGTATTAAAACGAATGGCTTATACTGTATATAACTGATCTATATTATGGAGAGATAAAATTAGTCGTTTACTCACGTCTTGGAAAGAAGTCATGTACTTGTTGGTTTTGTGCGAATCCTGGCTTTGTTAAAGGGATTCTAGTGGTTCTCTTATACGTACATGCTGAGAGTAGCTGAAACTGAAAGTGCAGACTTCAAATGACAACTAAGACAAGTTGTAATTCGGCAAGGCAAGTTTATTTGTATAGCACGATTCATACACAATGCCATTAAATGTGCTGATCAAAACAAGATAGCATTAAGATCATAAATAATCACAGTATATATTTAAAGAAAAGGTACAAATATAAAATCCCTCAGTTGGGAACTAGCAGAATACTGGTTTGCTGTTCCTAAGAAATGGTTTTAATTAGAGTTAGTTGTTAGAATGAGTTGTATGCTACGTTTTGGAAGGTGTGGACTTGTTGGTTTTGCAAATCCAGGCCATTCAAAGGGAATGTAAAAGGGATTCTCGATTTTGTCACGCTGCTGTTGTTAGCTCAGTAACAGTAACTGACATAAAATCCATCTAATGGATTCCTAATGCTCTCCAGTTTGTTTACAATACGAATTTATAATCATTCAGTGGTTATTATAGCGCTTTTTGGACACACAAAAACATGGCATTATTGTTTTATTAAAAAATAAAAAACGTGAAGATAAACTACTACTGTAGCCACAGCTGCCTTGGGGCACACCGACAGAAGCGAGGCAAGCAGTATGGGCGGCACGGTGGCTCAGTGGATAGCACTCTCGCCTCTCAGCAAGAAGGTCCTGGGTTCGAATCCCGGCCGGACCAGGGCCTTTCTGAGTGGCGTTTGCATGTTCTCCCCGTGTCTGCGTAGGTTTCCTCCGGGTACTCCGGTTTCCCCTACCACTAAAAATATGTACAATAGGTCTGGCATGCGCCTCCTGTTCGGCGACCCCGCTCCCATCTCTGTGTGGAGTGAGAGGACAAGTGCCCAAAAAAATAACAATTGTAAACCGCTTTGTGACTCTGGTCTGTGAAAGGCGGTATATAAATAAAGCTTACTTACTTACTTACATTCACCAACCATTCACACACATACAAGATTTATCCTAGGCAATGTTGGTGAAGTGTCTTACCCAAGAACACTGGGCACTTTACAGCCGCAACCTCCCATCGCAGTCCTGACCAGGCCCTGCCCTGCTTAGCTTCAGAGGTCTGACAGGATCTGGCTAGTTCTATCACTCGCTTTATCATAGCACACACTTTTGGCACATCTTGAGGTGAATATTTTCAGACAGGAAACATGTTTTATGTTGGAACAAACATAATGTCTTATTTATGAAAAAAGTTAGCTAGCTCCTTTTGTAATGTGTAGTCACTGTAACATGTTTTGAAAGCCTTTATATTGCTACTGAAGAAAGAATGAGAGCATACTCAATATTTATACTAACATGTCGCCACTAAAGCACTTAAAGCAAGATGTTTAATGAAATGATGAAGTTTGAGTCTCTATTGTAATTATGTTAAACTTATTATGTCTACTTACAGAGGTGAAACTCCAGAAGTATCTTTCAAGGGTTCACTTATTTCTGTAGAACGTGAGAAACTAAAATGTAAAACCAATGTATGATATAAACCCATTACATGCACAGTGACATATGTCCATCTTCAAAATACTAAGTTTTGTTTGGGGATTTTACAAGCTGCGAGCCATAATTATCAGCATTACAACAAATAAAAGCTTGATATATCTCACTTTGCATAAAAAAAAGTTGTAAGTTGAATTAAAGAAGTGGACTTTTAACCGATATTTTCAATCTCCGAGTCTCACCTTTACACTTTTGACTCGTAGAACTGTTTAATCCCAATTTAGTCCGTTTTAAAGTTAACTCTTGCTTTAGATCTGGTTTTCCTCCCTTTTTAATCATCACTGTGCCTTGGTAACGACTTTATTTAGCCACTGCTGTGTTTCCCTCAATCCTATTCAAGGCAGCCCACCATCACCGCTGTTAAAGTCATTCCTCAGACTCGGTTTAGCCCCTTGCGTTAGACCTTGCCTTTTTGATTTACGCTCAGCTAGATTCGATTGTCTGTGTTAACGCCGTGCGCACACACACACATACCCTGAAACCACAAGGCCTTCTCTTTTTACTGCTCCCTTGCTTTTGCTGGAGAGAGAGAGAGA